TGCTGTTTCCAAATTTCCAAATGAGAGAATCTTTATGGTTAACAAGTCAGGGGAAGACTTTCAATCTGTGTACTTGCCTGAAATCCTGGCATTGCCACCTACTAGATATGTAACTTGTAAAGATCACTCGACCTTTCTGAGTCCAGTACTAGTGGTTTTCTTAACCTGACAAGCGGGGCTAACACTACCCACCACAAAGGATTTTCATGATGAACGAAAGACACGGTATGTTTGAAAGTTCCTAGTATATATAGTGTTTCCGATATGGCAAGCACACATTTTATTTCCTTCCTTTCCTGAATGTTTATGTGGGCCTGCTACATGTCACGTATCACAAGAGGTGCTGGTGACGGCAGATGAATGAGCTGGCCTGCTGCCCAGTAGCACACATTCCTGTCGTAGGACATGCATGATGAAGGACACAAGAAGTGTATAATAATGCTGATTTCAGGAAGCAGTTAATTGGGCCAGGGGTGGGAGGGTGGATGAGTGAACAGGGGGACATCAGGAAGGTTTGGGACTCACAGCTCACTTGACTAGTAGTAACACTCACTTGATTATTAATTAATACAGGTTTTCTACTACAGGTACTTTTCAGAAACACTTATTTGATCCTACCAGGGCTTCAAAACTCCCGAAGACTTGCCCTGGCCCAAAGTCCTTCATAACTGGATTCCAAAAAATTAATTCATATCAGCACCTCAAATTCCTCAGATACTAAATGCTAAGAGGAGCGGGGAATTCATATTTCAATATAATTTATTTCAATGCAAATAATTTCCTCTTTATATCAAATGTAGAGGAGTTGCAAGGAGTTAAGATTTTTAAGGGGATGGGTGGAAGGCAGGCTCTTTTGGAATACACAGCTTTCTGGGGAATTGAAACAGAAAAAGGGAAGCACGTAAGCACTTGGATGAAAAGACACTTGGAGATGAGTAAGGCACTCAGAAAGGAAGATGGGAAGGGACCAAAATAACCTAACTTTCAAGTTCTGGAGACTAAAACTCAGGCTGGCATTAGAGCTAAGGTACATTATAGATCAAATTGGCTCCAAGACTAGCACACAAAACCCTTACTACCAGATTTATAGAGAAATGTCTCTTTATATATTAACCTAGAATTGAACTCTGAGCACAGAAGCCTTTGGAATGTTGGGGACTGCTAATATAGTCCTAAAAATGACACTGGAAAAAAAGAAATGCATGTAACAAAAAGCACACACACAGAGAAACAACGCACCTACATTTGACACTCACTCTGGGACAATATAGATATCCAGACATTATTTGAAGCTCCTCTGATTTCAACGCCAGCCTTGCTTATCTGATTCTTCAAGAGAGTAATGTCACTCACTCCCTTGGATCGCCTCTCACCACATTTTCAGTCTCTTGAGAAGGTGTAATTTTGATGAAAGGTGTGTTCTCTGCACCTCCAGCTGAATGGCTCTGCTGTTAACAGTTCAGGGTGAGTGGAGACTCGTCTAGGCAGCTTAGCAGCCACTCCTCCTCCTCCTGCTGCAGGAAAGCCCCTTGATTTGGCTTTGGAAGAACTACCCTCGTCCCCCTAAGTACAGTCTGATGCCTGTTCTCCCTTGCTCAGGAGTAAGTACATAACCAAAGCCAAGCTGATTAGAAACGTTCTCTCTGGAACCTGGCCTGAGGAGACGACAAAGGCAGTAAGTGGAAGCTGATTTATTCAGCAGTGGTCTGGGAGTGCAGCCTGCCAGGGCCTGGCTACAGATTCCTGCAGTTACATACCATGGTTTTTCTCTTTCCGTCCAATTCTTTAGCTTTTCCTTAAACCTCAAGAGCAACCCTGTATCTTTATAATAAATTCCTTTTTCTATTCAACCCAATCTTTTCCTGTTCTTGTTATTAGATGATGCTAACAACATATTTCATGTGCTATTCATTCTTCCTGTCTTCCCTTCCAAAAGCATGGATAAACTGGGGCTGGACTGAGCTTTCCAACACAAAGCTTTGATCGTTCATTGATTGAACACATTAAGTATCAGCATTATTAATTCACTCTAACTGAGCTCCTATTAGATGGTGAGATATACCAAAAATACAGGAGTGTACAAAACAGACAAGGCTCCTACTTTCTAGTGAGGTAAATCACATGATAAACAAGGAAACAAAAAAGATGAGTTCAGACTGTGCTGTGTTGTAACGGAAAGAAATAGGGTGCTTTGACTGAGTAGAGTAACTAGCGGTTTGGAGAGGAGGCAAGGAAATGCCTTGATGTGATATTTGAGCTGAGACGTAAGACCTAAGTGAAAAGAGCCAGACTCGACTTTGTTTAAAAACAAAATAATAAAAACAATGGTTCTCCATTAAGCTAAAAGGCAAGATTTTAAAAACGTGTGCTCCAAGGTTCTGTAAATTTGGTTTCAAACTAGTTTTTAGATCCGAGTGTTCGCTCCCCCCCCCCCCCCCCCCTTAGTTGTCCTGGTGCTAACTTCCTGCTTCAGACACTTCATCTCTGAGATACAACCTGCACGTCCTGCTTCTTCTATCACCCACTCCGTAATGTTCTATACTTCATGGAGCCCCCTCCCCAGCTCTCTACTCAGCTCAACATTATCTTTCAAAGCTCAGCTCAAGTTCCAATTAAGCCTCTGTCATGGGCTGGATTGTGTGACCAGTCCCACCCCTCCCCACCCCCCTTCATATGCTGAAGTTCTAACCCCCAGTACCTCAGAATTTAAGCGTATTTGCAGATAAGGTCTTTAAAGGGGTAATTAAGTTAAAAAGGTCTTTGGGCCCTACTCCAACCCGACTTATAACACAGAGGACACAAACACAGAGGTTCAACGATATGAAGACAGAGAGAAGATGGCAATCTACGCACCAAAGAGAGGCCTCAGGAGAAATCAACCCTGCCTATACCTTAATTTTGGACTTCCAGGCTCCAGAACTGTGAGAAAATAAGTTTCTGTTGTTTAAGCTATCAGTGAGTGGTACTTTGTCATGGAAGCCCTAGAAAATGAATTAACACACCTTCCCTGACTACTTCAGTCTATAATGAGCAAACACCTTTCAACTCCTGCATTACACAGAGTGGCATCATTGATGTAGTGTTTATTCAGTGCCTTACATTGTTAGTCATCTGTGTCTCCCCAACTGAACTGTCAGCTTTTAAGGACTGAGAATCTACTTAATATCTTTTGACACTCTTCACAATGCTCAACATTGTAAGTTGCACAACAATAAGTATTGATTTTTTTCAGTACTCTGACATTCCAATTAAGTGCAGGAGTAGAAATTATGCTTTTTTATTTCCTATCATAAAGCTGGTCCCTTATATTGATTTTCCTATTTCTTCCTAGATAAAGTCCAAATGCTGGAATGACATACAGGACTCTTCATACTCTGGTTGCAATTAATTTCTCCACCCTTATTGGCTTATTGGACATTTCTTACCATCCACCCTACAAACTTGCACATCTGGTTTCTTACCATTTCTTTACTCAGCCAACTTTCACAGAAAGATCCAGCTCAAATGCACTGTTCCTGTACAGATTTAGTAATTTGCCCCTATCCAGTAGCTTAGTCATCTGAACTACCATAATACTTATCCTCTCTCTGCAATAATACAACTATTTCGAGCGATACCCTTCATGGGAGTCCCTAAAAGGGAGAACCCTTGTTTCCGCCTGTTATCCCTAATGATTAGCACAACGCCTCGCAGGTATCTATTGGGGAGAGAGAGAAATTATCACACTAAAGGCTCAAGACCTGGACTTGCTCACCTTTATTGCTCCAGCATCTGCTATAGAGCTCAGCACGTGGCAGCTTTCTTTGCCGTGTGTATGAGTTCCTGTGGCTTTCGTTTACCACTGAGCAATGACTCTGAAATCCATCTCTCTGCTTGGACTTCTCCGTGGAACTCCAGCCTCTCAGGTGCCCAATGAAGACTTCCATCACAGGAAATCCCCCATGTCCAGGACTGCAGGCATGAGCCACACCTTCTCGCCCCTATCCCCATACCTGCTTGTCTTCACCTGTTTCCTATTTAGTTTGGTGTGTTGACAACCACCAGTTCTCCTAAACCAGAAACCTCTTCTCTTTCCTTCCTAGCGAGCCCCCAGGACCTGTCAGGCCTCCTGCATAAGCAGCCCGAGATCTGCTCTCCCATCCCCACTGGCTTTGGGGACATCTAAACTTGCCCCTTCAAAAATCTCTTCCCCTGGAGATTCCCTCAGGAACTCGGCCCCTTTTGTGTTACACACCTAATCCCCCTGCGTATATTTCCACAGAATGAAGCGTACTATATATATTCAATAGTGTTAAAAGAAATGAATTAAAGTTACTTTGAAGTAAACCAAAGCCCCAAGTTTCTGCTTTCTTTTTATCATCAATATTTAGGGATGCTTCAATTTAAATGCAGAGGACGATTAGTCATTCCAGATGAATGAGGAATTTGCTCCAAGCACGGAGGGAAACGTTTTAAAAAATGTCAGGGAGAAATCTTCCTAAAATGGATTAACCCATGTTCCTGTCCCCTTAAACGAGGTAAGCAGAGCCCAATGCGGGCTCCTTACTGATGACTCAGGGTCGTCATGATGAACAATCGCTGGACTGACTATGCTGTAATACACGGACGCCCTCCGATGCTAGTGCTGGCTCTGGCACGGAAAACCCCTGGCTGCTACACTGTGCGGAGTCTGAGGAGCATTTGCGCCGTCGCCCACTGTCAGGCAATCCCGCTGCAAAACCTGCCTAGAAACACCCCGCCTCCAAGCGTGCTGCTGCAGAAGCCCCCCACCCGCTCCGCCTCAGGCCCGCAGCCCCGCGACTGGCGTGCACGGTAACCGGGTAAGGGCTAGGACGGAGGGGCGCTCTCCTGCAGTCAAAGGCACGATCTTCTGCAGTGAGCTACAGAGTATGTTCCCCGTAAGTGACCTGGGCGGTAGGAGCACCCATCACAAGATGACGGGGACTAGGGCCCACGGAAGTCTCTGGGCCGGGGGTCTCCGGACCCGCCGGTCTGAATCCCACCCCTCCCCCCTTCCCCACCACAGGCCGCCGACTTCACACCGGGGTTTTCCCAAGCCGAGCAGCAACGCCGGTGGCCAGCGGAGGGGGCTGTGCTCCGCGGCGGGCGGTGGAGGCAGAGAGACAGGTCTTCCCCGGGGCCTGGGGGGAAAGGAGTGCGCTCCGGGGTCCAGGCGTTTGGCAGAGGCCCGGCCAGGAGGCAGGCCGCGCAAAGCAAAGTCGACCTGGGTTACAGGTCGGTTAGGCCGGCGGGGCCCGAGGGGACGGCGGGAGGGGGCGTAGGCCGT